ACACAGACAGACACACGCACACACACTTCAGTGAGTACGATTTATTTCTGGAGATTTTTGGATGACTAGATGCTCACAGCGGTTTCAGTCTTATCCATGACAGTGTTGGTTTAACAAAGTGGGTGCAAACACACTGACTGTGACTGACGGGCTCCTCGAAACATCAACGCAGGGACGTGATCCAGCTCGCCACTGTTTGGGACTGATACACAAACCTACCTGAACTTGATGTTGAGCAGCGGGGCGTCACAGAAGTCAGTTATACACTCGATGTTGAGGACTTGTTGGATCTGGGCTCCTCCCTCTACCAGTGGTTCCACTGGTTTGCTCTGAACATTCAGCTGTGTTTAGTTGTCAAGAACCAAACAAACAGACCTGCAACTCTGTGCAGCGCACACACTGGTTTACAGAGTCGCTGTAGCCTCGTGTTATGTTATCATGACGAGTGTGTTCATGATAACATAACACGAGGGATCCATTTTCATCCCGAGGCGACACTACTACTGCAAACAGCATGTAAGCTCTAACATGAGTATTCACAGACGCTCTACAAAGAGACTGAAATATTTGACATACTTGTCCCTCCTTGATTCCACGTGTAGAGTTGCACTTTCCTTCATCACGGTGACACAGAGATGATGGTTTTGCACTGACACAGTTCATCAACATCCTGGGAGCTTTGGATGTTTCTACAACTACGCCTGAGTAACTGTTGAAAGGATATGAGCCTGCAGTTCCCCGGGACAGCTGACTGTGGTGCTGAAGCTGGCAAACTGCACTGAGGTCTTGTTACCATAGAAGAGGTACATTCTCCCTGAGAAAGACACACACAATGTTTTAAGGAGCTTTCAATGATCGACGTGGATTGTGGCTTACGCAAAATAAATACAGTATCAGTACAGCAGGCCAGGCCGCACTCGATGGGCAATGTCTGAAACTCTCACTGGCCTCAACAAGGTGGGAAACTGGTTTTCATGGAGCAGCCACGGTGGGAAACTTGATAAGATGGGATGTCTAACCTCACATGCAGTATATAAATCAGTACATGCATCTTCATCGTAACATCTACTGGTGTGGAATTCCCATTAGCATCAGCCTTTCAGAGAGCGCTGAGCCAGCACTGAACACCATAACCCCAGAGGTCCTCACCACTCAATCCCCACAGGGTCGCGTACTCAGCCCCCTGCTGGACACCAACCATCATTGTCAAGCATGCTGAGATGCTTCCTATGACAGAGAGCTCTGCGCTTCCAATGCTGGTCTAATGCACAAACAGCAAATAAAGAGGCTTGAGCCCAGAGGACACCACTGTGCTCAGGCTCATCTGTGATGGAGATAAGACAGCGTACAGGAAGGAGGGAGACAATCTGTCCCGCTGGTGCTCAGCAAGTCACCTGAAACTGAACTAAAAACAAAAGATCTTATGGTGGACTTCAGACAGCTTTCTCCCCACTCGTGATAAACGAGTCTGCTGCAGTCTCCACCTTCAGGTTTCTGCTAAACTCACAGCTGGACCCACAACACCAACTAGGGTGTTGGTGCCAGAGCCCAGCAGTGGCTGCACGTCCTCCCTGTCCTAAGGAAGAACAACCTGGAGCAGAAGCTGCTGCTGGCCTTCTACCAGTCCTCAGTAGAGAACATGCTGTCCCACTGCCTGGGTGTTTGGTATGCAGGGCCCTACTGTGGCCACGTGGAAGGTAAGTAACACTGTCCAAAGAAATCACTGGCCTCCATCTGCCACCCCTGGAGGCCATTGCTAGCTCCTCCTGTCTCAGGAAACCCAGCGTCATCACAGGAGACCCCTTACATCCCACCACCACCTGGTTGACTGCTGCCTTCATGACGGTGCCCCTGGTCATTTAGACCCCACACCTCCAGACTCTCAAACACCTTCTTCTCTGGCGACATTCAGCAAACAATGCCATGTTTGTGCTTTCTTAATGCCAGAGGTTTGGATTTCTGCAGCAGGTTGGCAGCTTTTGTGCACCATACACTAGGGCTGGGCGATATGGCCTAAAATTCATATCACAGTATAGTTTGAAGCACGTGCGGTAACGATATATTCTTTTCTTCTGTATAACATATTTTCCACACTTAAATCGAGAGTGTCCCTTATGTATGACTTCTGGTTGTGCTTACTGACCTCAAACCGATTTGGGCAGAAATCTGTTAAAAAATGTTTTAGTACAGCTTTGGTAAGCCGCACTGCTTGATGGCTGGTCAGAGCATTACGGCTGCCGTAGGGAGGAGCTTCACGGAGTAATCTGGGTCCTAAACTCCGTCCGTTTCAGGTCCCAAAGTCAAACGAACACAGAGTTAAAAACTGTCTGAATTCTTTCATCTTTAATAAAATCATCAGCGTTGCTGCTTTACCAGGTGTAACAATTAAGTTTTTTTTCCCATGAAAACAGAATTTACTACATTTAACGGAGTTAGAACTTAGCAGAAGTTAGCTCGCTAGTTTCCACCTAAACATTTCATAGCATGTTCTGACAGAGATTTCTGAAACTAATTCAAACGTACAGCTCTGCTATCACTTCCAACATAAATAAAGACAGAAAACTAAACAGCAGTGACGTTTGCAGGGTTACTGAAGTTGGACTACCTGGTATATAATGTTGTGCTACGTGATCACTAGCGACACAGCTATGTTAGCATAACATTAGCACAGTGAAGCTGGAGGATGAAGCCAACTTTTTTTCCACTCGATAAAAGTTAACGTGAGGAATTCTGGTGGTCAGGGACAAATGCAGGCGCATAGCAGGATGCTGTACACGGGCCAAACTCCAGTCAGGAGAACAACTGAGATTATTCATCCACAATACGAGGTTAGTTATTAATATACTGCAACAACATGGGAACAGAGCAGCTGCCAGAGAATTCAACATTAATGAATCAATGTTACGGAAGTGAAGGAAACTCAGTTTTTGGCTTTCCCCATATTTCAGAAGTGCTTCATCTCTTTGCTGTGACTGTCGCTCGCCATCATTTGCAGATGATAATGGTTGTAGCTGTCACTACCCGATCCGTACCGGAAACCCGATCGGTACCCCGCATACGCAAATCTTACGTCACTTCCTCTCTTTGCCAACATTGCGACATTCAATATATTTGAATGATACGGTTAGCGCCCAGTTAGCTCCTAGCATTTCTCAACAGCTCTGCCTCCTTTTCGACTGCCCAGGACATTTGAACAATGGATAATCCGTATACAAAGAAATTCATGCTTTTCTCCTCAACAGAGAGCGTCCCCCGATTGAGCAACAGCGCCGTAAAATAAGAAGAATGGCGCCTAATTACAGAGTTAATAACATTGACGTGAAGATTCATCAGCCAGATGAAGTGTTTACTGACAATTGACAGTGATGGCGCACATCATCATCACTATTCCAACAATCCTCTCCTCACAGACAAGCATAAACACACTCGACTATCGCTAAATCAGATTTAACACACGTTTGTAATGACGATAATTCAGTTTATAATAGGGTTTATTCGCTCGGTCAGCAGGTGGCGGTATCCTCGTACACTGGGGAGTAAACTGCCATTAAACGAACAGAAGAAGAAGAAAACATCTGCACATGCGCGGTACGGATCGGGTAGACCCGATTTGTACGGTCAGACTTTACACATGCGCAGTAAGGATCGGAGAGTCCTGATCCGTAACTATCTTTTTATTTTTCGTTTTTGTCTACATTGTACTGAAATGCTTCATTATTGCAAACATTTTAAGATATACTTGTTATTCTTAACATCTTAACAGATACTCTGACCCATAACTATCGTAAAACGCTACGACCGGAAGTAGAGGCCTTTCGTGCATGCGGGGTACCGATCGGGTTTCCGATACGGATCGGGTAGTGACATAGCCGCTGCGATGCTTTCGACCAAAACAGGCGCAGCTTCATGACATCATCAACATGCGCTATCGCGGTAGAGCGGTATAGTCAAAATCTCTATCGTTGGCCAAATTTATATGGTTTCTATCGTATATCGTTTATATCGCCCACCCCTACCATACAGCTCTGCACCCTGTGACCCTGGTCTTCCACTTTGTGGATGAGATCCTGGGGCTCCTGATCGTGCAAGATCTAGGAGGGGAAAACTCCTACTCACAATCTAGCTCGCTGCAGCAGTAATTCAAGTTCAGTGCGGATTCTTTCATAGATGTTGGTAAAGGCAGACTGAATTGATCTCATGTTGTCTGTGTGAGTGTGGCACTGAGACTGAAAACCCTTCATGAATGAAGAGGTGTGGCTCAGTACTTCGTCTGTGCAGTTCATAATCTCAAACTGTAAAATACTGGCAGCCTCCTACAGCAGAGGCACCTGTGGTATACATTTGAAAATCTCTGCCTTTGAATTTGAGGTTGAGATTAGTGAGACTCACACTCACTCACTGCCTCCCCAACAGGGTGATGACACCTCACAGCTTTTTACAGCTGAGGGGTAAGAGCAACATCACAATATAGCCATTCAAACATAATGAATTACTTGCTAAATCAGACATGTATTGGTAGGAAAAGGTATAAGAAGTAAGCAGAAAACCCCCAATGTAATACTCACCCAGATTCTGACGATACTCTGACTTGATGCCGATCTGCAGCAGCTGATTCTCAAACAAAACTCCGTTGTTTTTGCACACAAACCTGGGAGGGAGAAGACGAACAGTGAAATGACAAGAACAACATCCCTGCAGCTATTTGACAAAACTGGTCCTACTTAGATAATCAGCTATACAGTATTGTGCAAAAGCCTCTTTCTTATATAAAATTGGAAAGAGATCTACTGATGGTACTTCTCAGCAACAACACGCAGCCCCAAACCATTAGAGCCTCCACTAGTTTAAAGAAGACGCTCTCTTTTCTACCTCTCTCCTGAGAACCCCGTATACACTGAGGATGATTTGAACCACAAACTTCCTGCTGCTACTGATATTCAGTCCAGTACTGGTAACTCGTTGGTGTAGAAATCCTATTTTATGCCTGTCAAACTGCTGTCTTTGGCATTTTTCATAGGCAACATACTGCAACAAGATAAAACCTAAGTCATGTGTACACAACATCAACCATAGGTTAATGTTAAAGAAGCAAAATCAAAATGTTCCTGTGAAAATGTTAGATGCAAGGAGTGGAAAGGAATGCTGCTAATGTCCACAGACAAACTTCCACAGGCCTTTAGAGACACTAAGTGGAAAAAACCCAAAACAAACAAACACTATAAAGAGCTGGGGTTGGTTCAAGACTTTTGCACAGTACTGTATCCTAATTTTGATATTTAGCAAGTAATTGACTCACCTCTGTGGGTGCACTGATCTGTTAGCCACTGCTTTAATGTCAACATTCATCAAGTCACATAGAATAAGATGGGATCAGCTCTAACTTGGTTCCTTCAGTGAACACACGTACAGCACATATACGTTGGGATATAATGGCCCGGTGTGTTACGGCTGATGAGACCTCTACTCCTCCAAGAAACTTTATAGATCCAGTGATTTCAAAAGGGAGTCACAAGCAACATCAGACAGTGAATGTTCCCCTGAGGGAAAGCAGATCCCACATCTGGGCTGCTACCACAGGGTGTGCCCTCCATTCCCTCACCAGGAAGCATGGCTGGCTGTCGGAGAAAGATGAACACTGCACTACAGCAGCAGAGTGAGGCCCCTTTAACACAGGAGAAGAACATGTCCCACCCTGCCTCTAAGAGACCACTGTTGAATCTCCCATCCTACGACATGCTGGGCCCTCAAACGCTCACCTTTAACAGTGAACGTGGCCCGACAGTGATCACATAGGCCATCGTGCCCAACAATCAGAACATCGTTTGCAAATGCAGACAGCACCCCAGCTTAACTGAGAGCGGCGGCGATGAAATGCAGCACTCCGTGCTCAGACGTTTGACGCTGGCCGAGAACTGCAATCGGTAACCTGTAGCAACAGTTCGCAGCAACCACGGAGAGGAGGCACAAGCTGAAGCAGGTGAGCAACCAGCAGAACCCAGTGTGTCTGCAAGAAATGCATCACCTGCTTAGTTTAGTTTGGTTTAGACTGGGAGAGGAGAGGGTCCTGCCGTGCGACAGGAGTCCACAAGCATCTTTTTAGGGTCGAGTGCCGGAGCTTGTGATTAAGGCTTCAGGCCCAGTCAACTGTCTCCTAGCATAGACATCCACCAGGCAGAAGGGGCATGCCATCCAAAGAGAAACCCCACCTCTGAGGACAGGGGCGAACAGTCACCTCCTGGCCCGGGATGTCCTACCGCGAGGACGTCCCAGTGTAGACCCAGTACACACTGGAGAAATGACATCTATGGGCTGCTCTGGGAAACGATTCACGTTAACCCCGAGGACGTGGCTGGAGAGAGGCAGGTCTGAGCTACCCTTCTTAAGCTGCTGCCCCTGCACACAGCTGAGTGGTGTTACCAGTTACTGAAGAATGTGATTAATGTTTCAAATGCCTTTGTTAAGACAGTTTTTGACATTATCCATTAAATGGTTCTCAAATTCAGTGCAATATTGGAGCGTTCTTAGCTTTACACGAGTCGGTCGAACTTTTTTCCCTCGTTTAGTCAACTAAGAAATGAGTCACCAGGAACATCTCTGGTATTGGTACACACCAGGTGTGTGAGACGACAGCAGAGATGACTAACAATAGCTAGCTAGCCCAGCTCGGCAGAGGGGTTCTGCTCCTCAGTGAGAACAGCCTAAGAGCTAAGTGATATACGTGCAGGCAGAGCCACACGTACGTCATTACAGGCATTAAAGAATATCCCATACTATATGCACTGTACCAAGTGAATCGCCTGAACGGGAACCACATGTGTTAACCAAACAGTTACAAACTGTCAGTGTCTGATATCTGTTCTGCCACAGCTGAAAATGTTAAAAAATGACAGAAATAACCAAAGAATCTTTTACAGGTTACCCTGACAAACAAAGGGGAATCAAATTAAACCATTATTTTAAATATTGGAACTGGATCAGTACACAAGTGGCACTGTATGAATGATGTAATCAGAACTCTGTATTCAAATATACAGAATCCACACTGGAAAGTGGGATGAATCAGACTTAGTAGGGCCTCTAATGTACATGCTTTTTAAAAACAGCAGCAGAACTATGTAGAGCTGATATTTTAATTAAGTGTGAGGACTCTTTTTGACAAGGAATCAAACAATTTTATGCTGAGCTACAGCATGAAAATGTTTAGACACAGAAGAAGCTTACTTGTTAAGAAGTTCATCTGCCTCAGACAGAGGAGGAGCAGGATCCTCAGAGGGAGGAGCAGAGCTGGGAGGCCACAGGACAGGGCAAGGATGCAGGGACAGCCCAAGAACAAAGCAGGGATGAAGCAGATAGGCAACAGGACAAATAAGGAATGAATGGGTAAGAGTGGAAATGGGAAATGAGAGCAACTCATTCAACACAGTAAACAGGAACGGCGTGATGAAAATTGGCAACAAGATAAAGATAAAGTAAAATGCAGAGCTGGTTAGTACAAGCACTTCACAGGTGAATGATACACACAGTGCAGAGATCACCACGCACTCTGAATGTGCATCTGTGGTACAATACTCACACAGGCCCACATCGAATAGCTCTATACTCACTGCTTAACACACGGGCCCACCGCTAAAGAAATAAGCAGGGCTTCAAGTAACGTTAAAGAAAACTAGGTGAACATCAGCACTAAACATGCATATTGTGCACATAAAATGTGATGCCATTAATGATGGTTTTAATGTGCGCACAATATTTGCCCCGCAGTTGCTAGACAGTGTTTCCATGTTTTTACAGTTGTAATGATCATCTACAGTCTGTTTAATGTTCTCCTACCAGTCAGGACTGCTGCTGTGCACAAGCATTCTGGGGGGAACAAAGGTTATTACCAATAAGGTGCATCAACCACAGCAAAATATGAGACACTGTGGATCAATGGAGACACAATGCATTTGACTAAGATATCAGCTTCTGCTCCACTGAAAAACAAACGGGTGTCTGAAAGAACGATGGTGCTCTTATCCATCCAAATAAACTGACGGCAAATATATTTATAGCCCTTTTCCACTGGTACCTACTGAGCTCGGCACGACGCAACTCTACTCGGCTGCAGTCGTTTTCCATTACAATCGAGTACCAAGTGTAGAGTTTGTGTGCGACACAAACACAACACAACGCGATGGTGTACCTGCTGTTGGTGTGTGGCCTTGCGGCTCGGGGACCACGTTTTGTGTCATTGTTGGGTTAAAACATGGATGTTTTGTTTTTCATAAAGGAGTCGCTCTCTCTTATGACTCATTGTGCGACGCCACTTAGTGGCCAGTTGGATCAACACGACTCGACTGGTTTTCCATTACAACCCAGTAGTACCTTGTCTGCGTGCTTGTCGTCATAGTAACGTGTGTGCGCGTCCCACAGCACAATTAATATGCAACAAAGGTGGACGTCGAAGCGAATGCATACCTGCTGCTGGGTCTGTAGCTTTTCGTCACACTCGGGGAACACGCCGTCGTTTTCTGTAGCCGTTCTGATTTTTGTGAAAGCAACGCCAAGCAGGTACCTAAAAAGTAGCTGCTACCAGGTACTGTGACCTAATGGAAAACCCTGCAAACCGTGCCGAGTCGATTCCAGTAGGTAGTAATGAAAAAGGGCTGTAGGTGCTAAAACAAAGTCCCTGGTACCACCTAATGGAAAAGCCTAAAGACCAAGTCGAGGTGAGCTGAGTACGGAAAAGGGCCGTGAGATACCCAGGGCTTCACAAACCTACAGGTTGAAAATAATATTAATAGTAAATGTAATAACAAAATCATCTTTTATAGATTAATCTGTAGCACTGTTATATTACTGTGACGCACCTGACAGGAGAAGCAGAGCAATAATTCAGGACCACAGCTCAGAGTGAGACCAGAAGCTTGATGGGATGGGCAGCAGCCAGACACCAGCAAGAAGCACTTTATCAGGACAGACTGACTGAACGAGTGTTTTTGCTGTGTGGTTTATCACAGAAGGCAGGCCCAGAAAAGAGGGCAGTGTGTTGTACTGACTACAGAGCTGTGGATCTGCTGCTCTCACTACTCCTGTGTGGACAGTGTTATATCGATCACCCACAATTTTAGACGAGCAACTACCAAATTGAATGCGTCCTTTGGCACTGTGTACGTGCCCTGTATGAAGCAGTGCAGACGGTTTACAGAGCACGTTCCCTGTAACGTGCTCCCTGCTGCTGCTGCTACAAACCATGTGGCTGACAGCAGAAAAGTTTGCACTCAAAACAGCAAGTTTGACTAAGCTACTTCACTTACGTGCAACAAGTCACCTCCTCAGTAACATACATGTTAAAGACATTTTCAATGAAAAAAACAAAAGCCCGAGTTGCATCTTTTTAGCCAGTTCTAATTTTGTAGGTTACTACTGGTCCCTTACTCCGAGTCACCAGAACCCTCCACCAATAGGGAATCGGAGGTCTCAGTGGGCTGTTCCAGATCTCTGTCAGTGTCAATCATGGTGAAGGACAGGAGAAGACACGCATCCGTATCAAAACACACATGTGTAACCGCACAAACATACACAGACACACACACACACAAACACAGGGGAATGGAGAGAAGGGAAAGAGAAAAAGACGAAAGACAGTCACATACATAGCAAGATTAAAAAAAGCAGACCTGCCAACCTTGAAGCTCATACCGAGTCCATCGTCTCCGTTTGCCACAGATCAGAAACGCTGCGATCCAACTGTGACTCGACTTCTTACGTTTCTTAAAGCTTTTTCTTAAAGATAGTGGGCTGACCCACTACAGATCATGTGCTCCATTTACATGAGCCAAAGCATGAAGGCGTGGCTTATCATCACCAGAGGTTGCAGGTGAAACAATTATGAGAGCCTGGCTCACACCATCATGTGCCCTGTTGAGATCACGTGACTGGGAGAGTGAGTGGGGGTTGGAAGGGATCTTAGAACTGGATTATAGACGGCAGACGGCTGGTGTCGTAAGCCCCGCCCTCTGTTCAAAGATGGTTGTTCCCAGTGGACATGCATGGCCTCTTTCAAACCATCTGCCTTCTCAGAATGTGAACCCTGGCACCCTTGGAAGATGTGACCTATGACCTTTAGATGCCGATGTAGTCGAGCCTTGTGCTATCCAGGTGGTTCTTCTATGTTGTGCCATGTGTTTGTGGCACTCCTCGTGCGCTGCACTGCGTACCCCATGTTGCGTAGCTAGTGTTTGGGAGGTGTGTTTGTTGTCTGAGGGTGTGGCTGAGTTTGAAGTGCACCAGGATGCCTCCTGACTTTCTCTGCTAAACCTACATGACAATGTCCTTCCGTTGTCCTTCCGTTTCTCCCTCGTTAATGTCCGACCTCGTTTCTTGTCCGTCTTCTTTGATTTGATGGAGCCCCAGTTTGTGGACCTTATTGGTGAAGTCAGAGTTTTTGATGTAGTGGGGTGTGTTCCTCACCATGGGAGCTGGGATGGTGGTGAGGTGCTTGGAAACGTTGTAGGTGGCTGAGTATACACTGCTAATAATTGAGTGGGACGACTTCTTTGTGAACCCTAAAGGTCCAGCCACCCTTTCACTGAAACGGTTTCTGACAAGACTTCGCCAACGTGGACCAGCTAAAGGTCCAGATGCATCTTTCAGGGCTTTGCATTTGTTAAGGGTTTGACTTTCTTTTATCTCCTACAGTTTTCTTGCTATACATTCAAAATAAAAACCCACTGCCTACGTCACACGCTACAGTTCAGCCTTATGATACCAATATACCTGCTGACAGTGCGGTGCTTTTAACAGTTAGGAACACAACAAGTAATCATAGTATTTCACAGCACAATACATGTTATGGCCTGAGCAGTCAAAGAACGAACTTTTCTTTGAGAGCCAAACCTGAAGCAGTACATATTTACTCTTTGAGGAAACGCCTGTGCTTTTATCTCATGCTATACCAATCATTAACATCAACAGCGGCTCTCAAAGAAAAACCAGTCATCAACAAAGAGACGTTGGACCGCAGCATCAGATAAAACATCCAACTACAAATGTCTTCAGGTTGGCAGGTCCATATAAGACAAAGAGAGCAAAGTAAGACAGAGTGACCAGTGACAACATGAACAGACTGTAACTACCTGCATCGTAGTTGAAAAGCACAAACACAGCTCCACAACCATCTTACATTCACCACACAGTAAAGAAACAGCAAAGTTTGCCAGTGATGTTTGAGACAGTCCAGTATGAGTCAGTCTTACAGTGTTGTTCCTTTTAGCTCTGCTGCACTTCAGTCATTTTTAACCTCCAGGTACATTCGTGCACAGAACAAACCTGCTTTCTAGCTGAAGCTAACTTTGTTCCACGCTCGGTCCTGCACTACGATGCAAACGTGCACCTTTGTCTGATCGGTGCAGTCTAAGCTGTTTCTATCTTATGGCTGGTTCACCACTACACACAAATGAAATTGTATGAAAACAGATGTTACTTTGAGCTGTTACTGTGATGTCCCACAATCACCACACACGAGTGTTTGTAATGTTAGTCCTAACGACCGAAGCTGATGATTATTCTTAGTTCACAGGGTGCTGACTTTGAGCAGCTGGTTTTAGTTTCATTTCCTTTTCACACAGCTCTGCAGGCTCACAGCTTCTGTACAGCCACCCATACTGGACTTGACTAAAAGCTTAGTTCAAGAGTTCATCAAGACATGAACTTTCACCTCAGGAAGCCGTCGTCATTCACAGCAGCAGAAGGTGCAGCAGGCCCTGAATCAGAGAACACGTCCACGAGTAGGCTGCCAGCATTGGTCTGAGCAGCACCGACGGGAGCAGCAGAGCGAATTCCCAGCAGGTCTGCTGATGGTGACGGGGTGGACTGGAAACCAGGAAAGTTGTATTAAATGGAAAACATAAGAAAAGCTGAGAGTTTTGCAAACAAAGACTAGAGAAAGCGTGCTTACAGCATTAGATGCAGCCATGGCTGCTGTGTCTGGGCCCCGGTCGGCCCCTCCATTCAACTCCCCAGCCTCTCGTTTGCTATCATCCAGCTCTGTCACAGAGACAGCTCCTGGGCCCTTCTTCTTCTTCAGCTTGGCCAGAATGGAAGACTCCCTCTCTGGAAAGGGAGGCATCTCCTCTAAGACGGTGGCCTGAAGGGGAAACGCATGTTGTGGGTTACCTTAGCCAAGCAGCCCTGACCATTAACATAATGTCGTTTTATCATTGGTGAGAACTAACCAAGACATCGGTGCTCGCAATCGAAGAAAGCTTGAGATACTCGACAGCACGCTGTTGCAGTTCCACATCAGAGTTGCGGATCTGGCTGTCACAGCGCAGCACCTCTTGGATGGTGGCCTTGGTCTCTGGGAACAGGTTGATAAACTTGATGTAGGCCGACAGCAGCAGTGCACGAGTGGGCACCGAGCACAGGTGGAACTTGGAATGAAGAAGGTTGAACTGGACCAGGGGGCTAGATGACAGGGAGACGGGCTTATTACCCAGCATTTCGACTGTCGACTTGTTACCTTATCAGATTAAAACCACCTTACCTGGAGCGTGGGTCACCAGCAATCAGGTTCCCAAACTCTCCAAGAATGTAGCCTCCTACTTTCACCATGTTCTCATGACAGGCAGGGGCTTGCAAAGCCTGGAACACACAAGGTTTAGTGGTTTTCCTGAAACGGATCACTGAAACAACCTTCTTTAGGATTAAAGTATTTTTCGACTTTAGGCCACGTTTGCTTTTGCTCACATCTCCTTCAGTTCTTACTGTTGACATTCAGACGCTTGAGGACAATCACTGCTGTTGCAGACAAGATAAAAACACTACTATCACATATATGAATCAATTAACCAAAGGTAAACACACTCAAACCGTGGTGTGTGTGTGCTCCTGAGCAGCTATATTATTCATATATGAAAGTCTGAAGAGCCAAACCAGAGTGTGAGACTAATGTCCAAAAACAAAGTTTGAATGTAAAGAAGGAAAAACTCTTCTTAGTGAAACATCGGGCTGCAGAAGAGCCGTCCCAATAAAACACTTCCGAACCATCTTCCAACTACAAGCTCTCTCTATTCACCTCCACAACATTTCGAGGGTTCATGAAGCAGTACCTCAAAGACCGTTTTGGCAGCGTAGCCTTGCACATCGTCTCGGTTGATGACAATCTGAATGACGCGGTACCACACCTCCTCGCTGACGTAGTCCCCAGCAATGCGAATGAGGTTGAGGATAGTGTCTACATACCAGGAGTAGTCCACGGCATATTTCTCTGCCAGTATGGCCACTTTCAGCACCTGAAACGGCACAGTCAAAACTGGTTCATCTGTTCAAAGCTGACAGAGTGGATCAGGACTCACCACTCACGTGTTTTCTGTAATGGTGCTAAGTGTTACCCCAGGCCTGGCATAAACAGCATTTGCTTGCACAGTGACTCACACCTACCATTTCCTCTCTGATGGAGTAATCTGCCGTTTCCAAGTAGCTGAGCATCTCCGCTACGATCTGTTTGGCGTTGCTGCGATCACACATGGCATACAACAGATCGGCCGCTCGCTGTCGCACACTCACGTCCCTCTCAGTCTGCAGAAGCACGGACAAACAATAAGAAGAGGAACAATGAGCGCCAACAGTCCGCTACACCAGTGATGGTGTGTGTCTTTGTGAAGGTAAGCATTCATTCTTAAATGTGAGGCGTCACCTTCAGGGCATTGATAACGGTCTCGATGTGCGTCTTGACCGCTTCGTGGGAAAACTCAGAGCTGGCCAGCGTACACATGCTCTCCAAAGCCAGGTAGCGCAGGTTCGTCTCTCTGTGCTGCAAGAACTGACCCAGCTGGTTGCAGGCTCGTACCAGGAGGTTTGGCTCGCTGAGTAGGAGACAGAAAAACTCCCTTCACTGACAGCCTGGTACAGTTCTGAGCAGCCAGTTAGCAGAGAGTCATGGTTTGTGTCCGTTTTGGTTTTAAGGTGACGACTCGACCACCACACTGCTGCTTCTAAGGTACTATAGACCAGCGGTGCCCAACCCCCGGGTCAGGGGGTCCGTGACTCGTTTGGTACCGGGCCGCGAGAGCTGAGGCTCCGCTGTGAAATTCATGGTTTTCAGGGTTTTTATCGTTAACTCGGTTCCCCTGGGTCTTTCCCGTGTTGTAGTTGTGTGTCTTATTTTGAAAGAAGTATTTACGTGTTACCATAGCGACCAGAGAGCATTAAGGGGCAGAGAGGAGGACATTACTCTCAGTGTTGTTGAAGCATTTGAGGAGCACGCTGCTAGCTCAGGCGGTAGAGCAGGTCATCCACTGATCGGAAGGTTGGTGGTTCGATTCCTGGCTTCCCCTAGTCTGCATGCCAAATATCCTTAGGCAAGATACTAACCCCAAATTGCTCTCCGATGCATCCATCGGAGTGTGAATGTGTGTGAATGTTAGCTATGAAGCACTTAGAAAGATGCGATTGTGTGAATGGGTGAATGCACAGGTTGTGTGAAGCTTTGAGCGCTCAGATGAGTAGAAAAGCGCTATATAAGAACCAGTTCATTTACCCTTTACCAATAAAGTTAAACAAATTAACTGAGTAATTGTGTATTATGATATTTTCAAAATACCACAGTTTTTATCTTGGTCGTATTTATTTTGTCGTATTTATCCGCCTTAAAGGCCGGTCTGTGGTGCATTAAAGGCCGCTGCTGTAGACTATAGAGAACTGATGATTTTCACTCAGCAAAGGCATCATCTTTAACTTCTATGTATGTAACGTTGTTAAATAATTGCGCAGAATAATATAAAACATCTATGAATATGCCATAAAGAAAGACTTAATCAGAACGTGGGGCTTTAAACCTGCTTCACACATACAGAGGACCAGACCATGACTGTACAGAGGTTCATCTACATATTTCTGTCTTACGATAAGAGGAAGAAGGGCAGTTCTAACAGTGTGCCATCCTTAGTAGTAGTAAATGTAAGAATTCTGTCAGCAGGGTTTAAATGAGAAGTAATCAGATTAACATTGTCCATTCAATGTTTTCTGAAGTGAAGAAGCTGCTTGGATGAGAAATGAAACATTCTGGGCTTTTCTATAGTACGCTGTGGAAACTGTCATTTAATTGTTTATCTATTAATGAATTACATTGGTGTCGTTTGGTTACTGGAGGAGGAAAAGTTAAGAAAAACACATTTTAAAGTCTCACATGTCTGCCCGGAGCAGTCCAGCAGTCTGGGCTGGAGTCTGTGGGCTGAGTCGGACCCCCGGGCATACATCTCACACCCCTGTTCTAGCAGACCCTGTGCACACCCACCTGGGAGGAGATCCCCCGGACACCACCTGTCGTCTCATTAGGAGCATGCCCCATCGTTGTTAGGCATGCATGTCAGCACACGAGGGCCAAACACATTACCATGTAACATGTGAAAAAGGACTAGTATGCCATTTCTTCACTGGCTTTGTGGGTTGTGTATATATTACCTTTATCATGTTCTTTAGTGGTATGGATTCTCTTCGTATTCATAAAGTAGTCGTACTATAATTCTTACTAAAAATATCACTATTAGATCTATTAGTAAAAGTACTCCTCTTAATGAACAATACATAAATAATAATTGTACCTCAGACTCACAGGGCCCAAAGTGTGAGTGAGAGTGAGTCAGTGAGAGATGCACAGAACAATTTCAGGATGTATCCATGCTGGTCAAATTTAGAGGGTTTGCAGTTGTTACAGGCTGTGAATGTGCTGAGGAGATGATCTGCGTTTAGGTGACATTAATTACCGTAATTGTCGGGCTGTAAGCCGCTACTTTTTGCACAAGCTTTGAACCCTGCGGCTTTTAGTCAGGTGCGGCTTTTCTATGGATTGTCCGTGATTTTTGTCATATCGTAAGACGATTTGTTTTGTGTGTTCCGCTGTTGTACGGCACTACGTTGCCTGGCGGAAGGATCGGGGTTCAAGAGTGGTATGTTAGTCACATGTCCGTCCGCCAGGCAACGTAGTGCCGTACGAAGTAGCGCGAAAAACAAACTTCAAAGTAGCGGTACGCGTTCAGCGGGAGTCGTGGATGATGAGCGGCGATAAACTTGCGAAAAGCAAGTTATGCCCAACTCCACCGGTGGATTCTGACAGCGTGGAAAAGTGTGAAAACATCCACGATCACCAACGGATTTTGAAGGGCTGGACTGCTGCATGATGGAGAGGAGGACACCGCCACGGCCCTTCTGAGGGTGTTCGACTCTGACACTGACAACGAGGATTTCTTTGGTTTTGAAAGTGACAACGAAGGAGAGAAGAAGAGTGGATGACGAAGCCATCCTGAGCCTGTTTGTATCCGACACTGGAGAAGAGGACTTTGGTGGTTTTAGTGCGCAGGAAGAAGAGAAAGATGGTGGTGAATGACTGACTTTTCTTCTTGTTAAAGCTGTGTCACTGCACCTGAGCCTAAAAGGTAGTCCGAATCTATTTTTCTGGTGTGCTGTAGGCTACTGTTATGTACTACATGTGCAAATATGTACCCATAACTTGTTTTTCAAAATATTAATAAAAGTGATGTCTCCAAACAGCCATCTCTTTCCTGACAATTCCCTTTGTGCATATTCTCTTACATATGATAAGTCAACATTGAAACACCTGCGGCTTTTGGTCAGGTGCGGCTAATGTATGTACAAAACAGGATTTTCCCCTGATTTTAGCTTGTGCGGCTAATATTTAGGTGCGCTTTGTAGTCCGGGAAATACGGTATGTAGACTCAGCCTGCTGACTGCATTTATTCTCCAGCAGCTCAAAGTCTTTTAAAATAAAATTGTTACAACAGAATGACGCCTGTTTTTCCCACATTAAAAAAATCTTTGGTCCAAGTTAATTGTTGAGAGTTACATTAGTGCTACATTAATGTTACATTAGAGTTACATTAGTGTTACGGTTCGGCGTTGGCAGTGTATTGTTTTAGGCATTTTGTTTTGGCGTGACTGTCATGTGTTTCCTGTTTTACTTTGAAAGTCTGTGTTATCTTAGTGTGTTCAGTTTACGTTTCCTTGTCTCGTCAGGTCTAATTTGCCCCAGCTGTGTTTCCCTCCTGTGGTCCATTCCCTGATTGCTCCTTCTATGTATTTAAGCCCTGTGTTTCTGTATGTCATGGTCGCGATCTTCCCCCCCGTTGTAAATAGTTTGGCGCCTTGTGGTGTGATGTAAATAAATATCATATTTTGCTTTAAAGAAAATAGTTGTTGATACTTTTGTTTTGGGATTATTTTTGTGGAAGCCCGTATTAGTCTTTTTTATGAGTTCGCCCTCCTTAAGAGCAGTGAGCTTGGGGGCCCTTTTTCCCTTTTTTCTATTTTTCCTGAGTTGCACGCCGGTTGCCTAGGCCGGGGTGTAACATTAGTGCTACATTAGAGTTACATTAGTGTCACATTAGTGCTACATTAGAGTTAAAATAGTGTTACATTAGTGTCACATTAGTGTTACATTAGTGCCTACATTAGGCTAAATTAGATGTTAACATTAGTGTTACATTAGTGTCAGCATTAGTGCTACATTAGAGTTACATTAGTGATAGTCATTAGGCTAAGTTCAATAGTGCACATTAGGTTGTACATTGAGTTACATAGCTATTAGAGTTACATTAGTGTCAACATTAGTGTCACATTAGTGCTACATTAGTGTTACATTAGTGCTACATTAGAGTTACATTAGTGTCATCATTAGTGTCACATTAGTGTCACATTAGTGTTACAGCTCATCTTCTCTGCTGGGTGTTTAACAAGCAACACTGATGGTGCCACAGGAAACTGTTATCGATGACGAGCTTTGCTGGCTCACCTGTCAGAACTGGAGTCACTTACACCAGAATGTGTTACAAACATACACAGGTAGACTGCATGCACACACATCAGTAATTACACACTTATTTACAGTGTCATTACAGCATGAGCAGCACAGGCTGGCAGCCGACTGCACTTAGATTAAATGTGTGGCGCGAGTTAGCGTGCATTCTTTAAACTCGAGTGATAACAGTTCATTTCAATAATAAGTCAGTGAGGATGCTACAGACAGTACTCACCTGTCATAGTGGATGATAAGTGAAATAGCCTCAAACAGGATGGCATTTTTAGCATTTGAGTGCTGCACCTTCTTTGACTTTGGTGGCTCCTGGGCCTTATTAAGAATGGTCTCCAGACACTCTACCAGACGGCCCTTGACAGCACCATCTTCTGGTGGAGGGTAACACTGCAGCAAGCGCAACAGCTTGCAGGAAAGCCAGGGTGCCGGCACAAAATAGTAGGTGTAATCCTGCAGATCGGTGGAGGCTGACGAAACGATCTGGAGAACAAACAGTATTTATCATTGAGATGAAACCGTCTGCAGAGCATCTGTGTGGAAGCTTGCTCTCAACCGTGCAGTAAAACCTTGGGCACAAACACATCCTCCAACCACACACACCCATATTTTGCCCCGTTGCGGTTTATTTCACACCTCAAACATTTAGTAAACACATAAGCAAATACAAGTAATCTGCAATAAATTACAGGTAGTAATAAAATAAACTACTAACTCTTTTACGCTACGTCCGCACCTACACGGGTATTTTTGAACACGCAGCTGTTTCGTCCACGTAAACGGCGTTTCAAATCACCAAAAACGGAGATTTTTTAAACTCCTTTTTTTGCGTTTACGTGTGGACGAGGAATACAGAGTTCGTCACGCAACGTCAAAGCTATGTGCCTTTTTCACATCACGCTGTGGCCACGTTATTGTTTACATGAGATGAACTGCAGAATGACAGATAGAGACAAAATACTGTCTGCAGGTTTTACGCGCAGTTACTGTCCCTCCATTTACAAAGGCAGAGGCGTCACGGTGGGATTATTTTACATGTAGTTGTTTTTTTTCCCTGTGTAATAATATTCAACATTGCTGTCAATACATTTTTCAAAAAAATGTCTCTCTGTGCAAAATAGGCTTAAAAACAAACAGCTGTGGGATCCTGTTTGTCCGTGATTTGAACCGGGGAACAAACTGTGGCAGGATCAGCCTGATGTTATTTGTATCCCGCTGTAACTTTACTGTATAAAGCGCAAACATCTCCAACATGTCAGGAGTAGTTAGTCATTACAAGTGTTTGTGAACTAAAAATGAAGAATGTGGAATCCTGTTTGTCCGTGATTTAAACAGCCCAGCGCTGCTCCCGACGAAGGAAAGACCAATTCTGCAGGGAGACCTACCTCAGCACCTGTGCAGGTGAAGCCAAAGGGCAGATTTGCTTCACCATGTTTTCTAGTCTTTGGCTTAGAATGAAATTGGTTGGGAAACATATTCAGCGATGCTTCATCTCCTGCTTTGTGTTTGTGTGGGCGCCCCGTGCTAGCAGTGTCCAAGCGTTTTTGGGTTTTTTCCCTTTTCATACCGCACCCCCCCCCTGCAATGGCTCTACAATTGTTTCTGACACTCACCCTGCTGAGGCGGGAGACGGCGAGGGAAACGCACGTCTTAAACTCGTCTGGATTCTTCTGGCTCAGGCAGGTGATGAGGGAGATGGCTGCTGTCACTACACCCTAACCCCACCCACAAAGAGAAAAATGAGTAACCGCACCGATTCATCACAGCGGAGACAACTGGTACATCAAAACATGTTTCAGTGGCTCATTGAAAAACAGACAAATGCAGGCAGAACATTTAATCATGTGAAAACACTCTGAAGTGTTACAGGGTTCATTCAGTCATTGTTCTCATTGTTTTACAGTTAAAACGTTCCGGTAAAAACAAATACCACCGCTGCTTTGGCGCCTATACAGACTTATGCTGAGTCACTAACCCAGTTCAATTTATATTGTACCAAGTCTCAACAACAGCTGCCTCAACAGAGTTCATGTCAGAAGATAAAAAAGCTACAATATCAGAAGGAAACCCAACGATCACCCTGTGAAAAAGCACTTGGCGATAGTGGGAAGGACAAACTCCCTTTTGACAGACAGAACCCTCCGGCAGAGCCAGGCTCAGGCAGGGACAGACATCCACCCTGTCGGTCGGGTGAGGGGAATAAACTGGCCAGAAGGAAAACTACAGGGGATGTACAAGGATGTACCGTCCACTCGGTTCCTTAAGGAGCCTTTTTGTGTTGTTTGGCTAGCGGCACTGAAACAGCTGTGATGTTCGTTTTAGTGAAGCTCTTTATGAATGAGAAGAGTGTGGAGGAGAGCCTGGTCAGGTGACAGGATGGAGTCAGGAACAGATTTTTCCTGGTGTGGCCAGATGTACGAGCGGCACAATCGGCTGCTGCGATCAGCTCTATCTCATGAACAGAACAATCTTTCTTTTTCCAAGAACATCACACCACAAACAGAACTATGATTCTTAGCGAATGCCATCAGCACGTCTGCAGGGAAAGTAGGTTTGTGTGTGATGGGGTGATGGAGTAAGACCTCCCCAAACACCAGCAGCTGTTTGGCTGTGCTTGGGTTACTATAAAAGTGATCGCTTAGACTGATTTTGGTTTCCTTATATCCCACTGAGTTATGGTTCTGTCACTAGTTAGCTAACATAAATAAATCTAAGTGTATGTTACCATCAACCAGCCAACCCGATGAAGTCACGCTCAGCACTGGCACAAGATGGCGCTCAACATGTTTGAAAGCCTTTAAGCTCTGGGAACCACTCCATGCTCGGATTGGTTAGTTCGTATTCATCTCTGGCTCTCTTCCACAGCGCGTCTTTGGCCTCCTCATGTAACCACCAGTCACAGCAGATGGCCCTGCCCCTCGCTGAGCCTGGTTATACCGGACCTTTCCTCCTATTCAAAGAGTTTTTCCTTCCCTCCGTCACCAAGTGCTCTCCCACAGAGGGATGTCTGATCGTTGGAGGGGTTTCTCTACATCGCTGTAGGGACTCACAATATAAAGTGCTGTTTTTGTGATTTAGCATAATGTAAATAAAACTGAAATGAACCAATGACACGTCCACAGCTGGGCTGAAAGGTTAGGATTTACATGACCTAGGATATTATCCTTCTTAGAGTATTTACTGAGTTCTAATGCTCTAATGAGAAGTCACTGTCGACAGGAAGGAACACTGAGCAGAACAAGCGGCCCACGCGATGCTAAGTCCTCCACAGCATGAAGGGTCCTGCTGCTGAATGACCTCTGTGCTCTTACCATGTGTTGGTCGTTGAGTAAGTGCACTACACGGGACGTCCATTCACCCATCAGCACCAAGTCGGGAGAAGTCTTATAGAGCCGCAGCAGACAAAGGGCCGCTGACTGTTTCACACTGTCCATCGTATCACTGCGTTGCATCACATTCACAGTATCACAGTTAACAGGAGTTAATCTAAAATAAGTACAAAAACAACCCAACAACAGTGAAGCATCACAAACACTTACCCTGCAACCAGTATCCGAGGGATCTCACTGGCAAAGGCTTCGGCCATCTCACGGCTTCCCACGTTCGCAATACAGTGAAGCGCCAGGCACATGAAGGTGGGGTTGCGGCTGGACAGGTCGTTCTTGATGGCGTTGTTGATCAGACGGATTAGCTCACTATTGCTATTCACCAGCACTGAGATGAACAGGTAGCCCTGGACAAATCAACATCGACAGTAACAATGAGTGGCTTTCAAACACAGCGTCCCACAGCGTGTGCTCTGCATGTGTCACAACTTTGTGGACTAAGCAGTTTACACCAGCTGCTGTGTCACCCACGTTGTGTTATGATGTTAGCACACTCACAGGTTAACAGGAGCTGTGTCCCAAAACCTAAGCCGCATCCTTCGGAGGACCCGGCCTTTGCGGTCTACGTGGGCCGGGTCCTCCGAAGACCGAGAAGGCCGGAAGTGTGAGGCTGTGAAATTAGACGGTCTAGCCTTCAGATCAGCGTCACCGCGGTCTCGGTGGAGTTTAATAAACTCGGCCGTCTGTTCCTTGCTGTCTAAAACATAACAGGACACTGGAGTAAACTCTCGACTGTCTCATACTTCTGTTTAATCAGTTTTCTGTTTGACGTTTATTCAGCGGTGTGAAAACCACCCGATGGGTTCATAAAGTTTAACTTTAATCTCAGCCAAACTGATTTACTCAGGAACCAATCAAACACTGAAAAAAGCCAAACAATAACATTTTTAAGTTATCTGAGTGACTCATATATCATGTTTAACCTGAGGAGCGAAAGACAGCGGTGGGTCTGAAAACGATGAAGCTGGGAGTTCGTTGTTCTTAGCGGCTTCAGTGACCCTCAGCCCCCGGCTAGCTATCGAGCTAGTGGGTAACAGACGTCTCTGAAAACGTCGGAGCGCTTTTGAAAATATGCGGTGTCTGATAAACTGAGCAGATATTTGAGGTTTACACAGCTACATTCTCGCCTGAAAATATGTTAAACGTTTATTTTGTGACCCAGAAAGAATAATAAGAGTAATATTAAAACTAACTAGCTGCCGCCATTGTTGGAAACTGGAATGGTGGGCCACGAAGGACACACCCGACCCATCCTTTAAATTCGGGGAAATGAAGGACGGATTTGTCGGCCGCATTTGAAGGAGTCGACGAACTGGGACAGCCTTCATCACCTGGCTGTGACGTAATCGGCCTACAAATGCGGCCTCAGGAGGACGCGGCCAACATTTTGGGACACAGCGAGAGTATCAGGTGTCATGTGAAACTAACGAGCTGTGACACAAATGACCAGCTGACGCCTGTTATACACTCAGTATCTGCTGTACTGGGTCTACAGAGGTCTCTCTTTTAATAGAAACACCTGGATTAAGGCTTCATAGATCAGATCTTAAAACTATGTAAAGAAATGGTTCATCCCAAAATTCATTAGGAAAGCTGATCCCACTCAGCAACAGCAGTCACTGCATGTGTGCTACGTGTAGGGATGGGTACCGGTGTCCGGTGCCATGATGGCACCAGTTCTGACATAAACGGTAGTAACCAGACCGAAAAGCAGCGCACATTTCGGTGCTTTATTTCGGTGCTTTTTTTTCCTGAGCTGTGATACACTTTAGATTCTAGCCAATCATTTTACATTTCCGAGGATAGTAGGCGGGGCCAGGTAGTACGTACGTTCTTTTAGAGCAGAGCTACAGATTAAAAATGTCCAAGGCGAAGCGGTCAAAAGTCTGGCTGTACTTCACAGCAAAAGATGCAAACTCAGCAGCAACAAGTGCTTTAAGCTGATACTGTGATACTGTCAAAGGAGGTAACACCTCAAATCCGATGAAACACCTGGCGACGCATAGCGTTTTTTTTAAAAGCCGAGAAATGCGCCGTATTTGATAGCTTGCTGCGAGACCTCACACCGAGCACATCTACTGCGGGTGTGGTGCCTGTTATCGGACCCGGAGTTAGCAACATCCCCCAAAAACCCGAAGAGGAGAGTCCTGGCCCCTAGCCCTGCCAGTGTAGCAGAAATGATGAGGATGATGATGCAGCAGCAGCCGTTCTTCTCTGCGTGAGTAGCTTAATGTTGTTCGTGTGTAATTTACGTTGAGTAGGCTAACCACGTTATTACATTAATGCATGTAAGGTGAACTAGCAAACATCATCATAGCTACATGCGGCTGTCTTCTTGTTTGATGGCAGATACTCCCTTCACCCTGGCCAAAAAGGCTAAAATGACCAAAGAAAAAGTGGAAAACAGTTAAACATGAGAGGTTTTGGACAAAGTTTGTGTTTTTTCCATTGTTTAAGCACTGCTTCCAGCCAAGAGTGATACCATATATGCCCCATAGCTGCAGAAAAGGCTAACATTGTTATCTTTTTACAAAAAACAGCTGAACATGAGAGGTTTTTGGACCAATTTTGTGTTCTCCATTCTTTAAGCACCGGTTTGAGCACTGTTTAAGCACGGGCACCATTTCAAAAGTACCGGTTTGGCACCGGTATCGGACAAAACCCAAACGATACCCATCCCTAGCTACGTGTGCTCTCACACCTGCAGTTGAACACCCGCACCGAGACCCTTTGAAGCTAGTCTCAGTACGGCTCCAAAGGAACTCCAGAGCCGTTTGTTTATTGTGTGAACGTGATCCGAGCCCAGGTGTACGCTGCAACACTGTGTGAAACAAACCACAGGAAATGCTACAGGTTTACACACTTGTTTGTAAACTTGGTAGAAATCAAAGTTCCCAGCTCGGATCAGGGTGAAGGTCTGGAGCTTATTAGCGGTCGTGTTGAGTCAGTCGCAGCCGTCACTTCTCAAACCACATGGATCCTGAATCATCCTTATTCTGCTAACTAAACATTTCCTGTTCCTGAGGAAACTCTCCACACCCCACAGTCAGGAAATGAAAAGGTCTCAGCAGCAGAAGGATTTGTTCTGCAAACATTTACTTCAGTTTTTTCAAACAGCATTTCAAAGAACACATGAATCCACACAGGGCTTCATGTTTTTTCCTAAAATGTAAGTATAAATAAAAACACCCTGGAAAAGCGTGCGGCGGTGACGAATCACAGCTGGTAGTGACGTGAAGTAAAGGACTACCACGTTAGCTACGTCACAAATAATCTAATCCTGTTTTTATTCAATAAAACAGGGAAATGATGCTGTCAACACTCTCACGTCTTATATCTGGTGAGCCTCAACGGGTCAGGGATCGGGTGTTTGAGTCCCTCCTGTACACTGGAGCAAAAGTGGGCCAGCTGTGAACGCTTGGTCACAGTGTTTAGTGGACACGTGAAAAGTGGAAATGCAGCCCATGTTCATGCAGCACTTTTATACTGCTACGTAGCACTCAAAGGGCTTTTATACCACACACACACACACACACACACACACACAC